ATCGATGGAGAACAAACATTGCCCATGTTCTTCCTTTCTTTGCACATACTGATAGCTCTTAATTTTTCCTCAGCGTGACAAAAAACTGATGATCCAGTTGGTATTTGAACCTCGGCTGCTCTGGCCTTGGATAAAGTCGAATTTGAGTACTGGAAACTGTTAGCAAACGTTTGCCTTTTGAATTCAGCTTGTTTAATGGAGTTGCAATTACTGTACTATCCTTGATTGGTAATAGTTCGTTCACTGATTAATTGATTCATCGAGTAATTCATTCGTTCACTGATCATAACTTCATAACTCGTTCATTGATTTGCTCGTTCACTGATTCATTCGTCCGTTCCATCGTTTATTAACCCTTTCATCCATCCATTCATTTATTTTTTAGCTTGATTTTGTCTTTGCAAAACGTGGGAAACGTGTTTCTGAACATTTTTCAACGATTCTCTTCTTGTGCTATTTGAACAAGCTTCAGAGACTTAGTTCCTAAACAAAATGATGCCATGTGTTCAATATGGATCATGTGGTTTCACTTAACTGCCGTTATATTTTTTTATGAATAGAGCTCCTCCTGGAAGAATCCTTTTCAGGAATGTTTAGTTTGACGCGATGGGAGGACAAAGTGATCCTGAAAGGTCTTTCGTGATAGACGACTATCTGAAAGGTAGTGATCAGACCAAAGGAGTAATTGGCTTAATTACACTCTGGTTAAGTCATCAGCAAACGTGCATATCACATTGTTTTTCGTAGGTACCAGTTTGCAATCTTTGGTCATTGCAATTGAAATGGCTTTAAATCAACATTTCTAATCAGCCAAATTCGCTTGTTTGAAGCATCAAGATTTAGTATTTCGGCTATTGACTCCAAATTATTAATTATAATCTATAATCGAATTATTAATTGTAATCTGAATAAGTATCAGTTAAAGTTTCTGAATATTTGCAATTAACGTACCGTTATGTTTCCAGGTACGGCATAGAATTCACTGAAGAAGAATTGGGACACACTTCACACTCTGAACATCCGCCGGATGAAAACAGCTC